TCATAAATAAACGACACAAGCACTTTGGTCTTGAAATAGTCACAATTTTTAGAAGCGTTGGGAACTGAGAATTAGCTCACCAGTTATTTTGACCTTATAATGCCACCTTATTATTTCAGTCACTTCAGTTACGCTGTACGTTTGACAAGAAATTGTCCATTTTTTAGCGTTTTTGCTCCTTGGCATCCAGTGTCTCTTTTTGCATCCCTAGTTGTACCTTAAGCATGCTGTTCATTTCAAGTCTTGCCTGGGTGCAGGAGTTGGATTGAAGCGATGTAAACTGGCTGGTATAAGGTTGGTAGTTGAACCTCGGATGTGATGGCGTCAGCTTCTCACCAGGGATGACAGGGCTGGTGCAGCGATGAGTTTTCACTGTAGCGGCCCCTTGGATTTACTGATCAAGACGCAGAGAGTTTCAAACGGGTGTCGATTTATTTATGCCTCTCAACGTGCACCATGCACCATGAACACCGTGAAAACTACAAAATAAACAGAAGTACAAAATGCTTCAATGTAGTTTCACAAATAATTGCACATAAATAATGTTCACATATTAATCATGTTTACACACAATGCAAATCATTTTTAACTAACAACCAATATTACTATGAAATGTTTTTAAGCCTTTATGACAAAATATCACATGCTTTTACATGAAATACAATATGGTTGCTCACAGAGATGATATTGCTTGTATATTGACGACATGTGCAATTAACCATAAACAAATGAAGTAGTAAGATTTCTTTTCCTTAAAATCCCTTCTAATGACAATAAACTAGACACACTTTCATACCTCATTCCGCTATCCAAGGACGCTATTCAAATAGTTTCCACCATCAGCTATCGTGCTCTCGTGACACTCTCACAGTTCGTAGGTCGTTCTTCCGACGACACGTGAGCATCACATTATGAGGAGAGAGTGGCAGGAAGTTTTTTGCGTCACAAACACCTTAGAAGAAGAAAATGCGCCTTTTTCAAAATAAAAGCCAAACAGACAAAGTGACACCGTAGAACTATAAATATAATAATAATATAATATAAAATATTTATATAAATGTAATACTATGTAAGATAATATTAAAGTGAATTATCAGACATTTACACATATTGCTAAAATGTTTGTTGTTGGAGAAAATAAATGTGCCATATGTGGAATTTTAAACCTACAAGTATATATTTTTAATGAAAGTGAAAGTGATTATAATGGGGTAATCAAATGCAGGCTAATATAATTAGTTTGTGCGTTGTTTTTGTTTTTATTTTCATTTTTAGTTTAGCTTTTAGTCAATATAAAAACAAAAGCTTTTTGCACATAATATATTGCATAGCCTATATTATTTTTGTTTCCATATACTTCAATATCAACATTGTTTGTAGGATATCATTGGGCCGAATGTGAATATATATATATATATTTTTAAATATAAAGATTTTCTTTATCTAAATAGAAAACGTAGAAAGTACCGAGATATATATCGTATATCGCCATTTGACCAAAAAATATCGAGATATGATTTTTTGGCCATATCGCCCAGCCCTAGGTTGATGATGATAATACAGTGTCTGTACAGGGCGATGATACAGTCTCTATACGCCTTATTCACGGCAGCGCCATCTTTGATTTTTAATGAGAATGAAAGCGAGGCTGTGAGGGATAGTCATGCATCTCTTCAATGGGCTGTACTGTTATTTAATGTGTTTTCGGATTGTTCTGCTCATGAAACACTGAAAAAATATCTTTCCAAGAAATTTCAGTTGACAAAAAACTCCCGACAATGTAAGCTGTGGAAAATTGTAAGTATCTAGCAGTTTTATTCAGCTTTTTACAGCGGATGCCATTGGAAACACGATAAGTCTATCCCTCACAGCCTCACTTTCATACCTGTCATGGCGCTGCTCTGAATAAGGTGTATAGAGGATATATCCAGCAATAATAAACGCACAGTCTGAATATAACAGGTTTTATGCTGGACAGGACCAGCAATGATGTCGACACTGATGAGTCAGTGAAGGGCAGAAAGGGAAATAATTCTTCAGAGTCCCAATCGATCAACCAGTCAAGCCTAGTTTCAATCTCCGCAAAAATCTGGTATAGTGCAAGGTGCTGACTCTCTGTGGTCATCAAAACAAAAATCCCTCAGCAAAAGAATTGGGGTTTAACCCTGACATCCTGTCCATCATGGCCTTCTAATCATCCCCATATACTGATTGGCTTCATCACTCTGTCTCCTCTACATCAATAAGCTGGTGTGTGGCGAGCGTTCTGGCACAATATGGCTGCTGTCGCATTATCCTGGTGGTGCTGCACACTGGTGGTGGTTGAGAGTTGAAAATTCCCCCTTGCATTTGTTGAAGCACTATATAAATGTGACAAATGAAATCAAATGATTATATTAATTATAATAATTATGTCATTCTCCGCTTCGTACACAGTGACTGCAGATCCGTTCACCCACAGCAAAGCTGATATAGTCCTCTGCAGGGCTCGAAATTAACTTTTTCTTGCTCACCAGCCACTGTGGCTAATGGTTACTAGCCACTCAGCATTTTCCCTTACCATTACACTCGGGTGTTATGGGGATAGTTCACCCAAAAATAAAAATTAGCCCATGATTTACTCACCATCAAGTCATCCTAGGTGTGTTTGCCAATCAGAGTTATATAAAAATAATGCCCTGGCTCTTCCAAGCTTTATAATAGCAGTGACTGGCTGTTTCAGTTATAAAACCATACAAGCATATATCCATCATAAAAGTGCTTCACACGGCTCGGGGGGTTAATAAAGGCCTTTTGAAGAGAAGTGTTGAGATTGTGTAAAAAAAAAAAAAAACGTTCATATTTATTTAACACAAATTCTACGCCAAAAAGCAGTTACACCTTACACCTAAAGCGCAACTTAAAGGGTTAGTTCACCCAAAAATGAAAATTAAGTCATTAATTACTCACCCCCATGCTGTACCAACCCCGTAAGACCTTCGTTCATCTTCGGAACACAAATAAAGATATTTTTGATTGAATCTGAGAGCTGGATCAGTCCTAAATAGAATGCCTAAGGGACTGGCTCTTGACGGCCCATAAAGTAATTAAAGAAAAGGTTTAAATATTCCATGTGCCTACAGCGGCTCAATTATAAGTTTATCAAGCGACGAGACTACTTTTTGTGCGAAAAAAAACATAAATAACGGCTTTATTCCACTATTTTTCATTTTTGGGTGAAGCATCCCTTTAATGTCAAGTTACTTTTAGGTCCAGTCATCTGTCACAATTAATGTCAACTGACATCAAGATGTAAATTTTCCTATGCTGGACATAGCTTTTGCTTTTGGCCACTACTATATATTAGTTTAAATTCAGTGTTGACTTCTGAACCTCAGTGCATGTTTTTGTTGTGTTTTGTCCTGATCATGTGTGCTAAAATCCCAAGGTTGTTTCCCATGTCACACAGTAATCTACAGGTAAGTAACATGAGCCCACCAAACAGGTCTAGCCTGAACCCCCCCAAAAAAAAAGAAAAAGAAAAGAAAAAAACACAGCATGGGAATCTTCATTATTAAATAAGCCGTCTTTCCGTGAAGGAAAAGGACCAAGACAATTCAAATATTAAAATGAACATCCTTCAGATTAGTGTGGCATTTCAGATGCCCTGGTGGAGATTCCATCATACAAGTAAATCTGATCTGAACGAGATGGAAAACCCAAATAATCAAAATCATAGCATGATGATGCCATTCAATTGATCTGCTACCGGCAGGAAGTTAAATCACATCCAAAAAAAAATTCCAGTTAAAGGAGATCCAGAATGCCCTGGATTACGTGAGAACCTATGCTAATGAAATGAGATGGTTTGTTATAATTTCACTTTGAGCAATTATTAACAAAATCCCCCAATATTCTTTACAGTCACAAGGTGCTTTGTCCAAGTCAAACACACAAGCAGTTTTACAGTAATGCAAGTCATGAGATATTTTCTTATACTTATTATTAAACTTTAAATGAATAATTCAACCAAAATATATTTTACTCACCCTCTTGTCTGACTTATTTAAAACATAATGCATTATACTATATACTTACGGTTAGTTAATGTGTCAACTAACAATGAGCAGTAATCTTTGTTAATGTTAGCTAATAAAAGTGCAACTGTTTATTGTTTCATTTAAGCAAAGGTCCATTAAATAATATTAACTTGTGTGTAATCTGTTAGTAAATGTTGAAATTAACAGATTAATAAATGCTTTAGATTTTGTTTTCATTGTTAGTGGAGCCTTATATTAGTGGAAGTCTTTTTTGTCATTTTGAAGTTTTTTTTAGACTCAGTCCTCATTTACTTTTACAGAAAAGAAAGGAAGGAAGGAAGAGTCATGAAATATTACATTTACGGTTAGTAAATGATGGCAGATCTTCATTTCAAGGGCATTATTGAGGTGAAGCCTTACCAGATATATATATATATATATATATATATAGTATATATATATATATACTGTATATATATATATATATATATAAAGAGGATTCTTGGAAAATGATACTAAATTTATTTCAAGTCTCTGCATGCAGGACAAAATGAAACTGATGGACAACTCCTGAAACACCCCTCTATCTATCTATCTATCTATCTATCTATCTATCTATCTATCTATCTATCTATCTATCTATCTATCTATCTATCTATCTATCTATCTATCTATCTATCTATCTATCTATCTATCTATCTATCTATCTATCTATCTATCTATCTATCTATCTATCTATCTATCTATCTATCTCACTTCCTTGTTAACAGTAGCTATTCCGTTTTTTATAGATTTGTTTCACGTAGGAAACGAGACTATGATATCAGCGAATCTACATGTTCATTCCAGTGATGATTTACCGGATTCCTCGATGATTTATCGGTCCTGTCATTGCGTTCTCAGAATCCGTGAATGAAGAAGACTGAAGAGAAGCCAAACTGAATTCATGATGATGTTTTTCTACGAGCACACATTTTCTGAAACTTGGCCAATGAACAGCGAAAGTGGGAGGAACCGAGGACGCGCTTGAGAAACCGCCCTTTACCACAGTATAAGAGGGCTTTTACAGCAGATCCTCTCCACAAACCCGCAGTAACACAAACAGTGAGCCACAGGATACAGGCTTCTGCTCATGCGAGACATTCATCATTAGTAAGTAAGTAAGCAAGCAATTTCGTGAATATATAATACACACAATATAGGCTACAGTAACCTAATCTCTACTAATGAATATAGTGTAAATAAAATGATCATGATTTGGAGTTTTTATTTTAATATACTGGGCTATTTTATATTTAATTTGTCATTTTAAGTCATACATTTTAAGCTGTTGTTTACAGTGTGTAATAACCATATTTAACATCCAATTTAACATTCAAGGTGGTTTTGCTGCAAACTGTATTTCTGCAGTATGATGCACTGAAAATGCAAGTTTTGTGCACAAGGAAAAGTGTCATGGAATTGCCATAGTGGTAGGCTAGTATGTTTAATAATTACATCCATGGGCCAGTTGCATAAAATGCTTGGACTAATGTTCAGTAATCATTTTTAAGACAAATCATAACCTTTTAAAGTCATCAACTGCTAGTTGGTCAGAATAATTCTCAAGACAGTCTTGACTGTTTATGCAACTGCCACCAGTTTCTTATTTATTTTTTAAGGCTTTTATACAGTTAAATATCATTGTTTTGATACCTGTCATGACATACAGATGGAAATCCTCCCCTGTAATCTCTATACAATGATATGCAGTAGAGTCTATGGTCTTTAAAAAGGGTTAAATGGACCCAGCACTGTGAAGAATGTCTTGCTTCTACATTGTTATTTTAGCTACGGGACTGAACATGTTTAAGCCTGAGCTTTTTCCATTGTCTCATAAAGCTAGAGACCACCTAAAAAGTACCCTTATAGTAGATGTGCTACCATAGTAGTAATGTTTTGTTAAATTTATATTTATTAATTTCCCAATTTTATTAATTAATAAATTCATTTTTAATTATTTAGAAATGGAAAAACCATCGCCCGGTTTCACGGACAAAGCTTTAGCTAGTCTCAGACTAAAATGTTTGAGTTGTTTTAACTGAAAGCAACTTGCACTGATATGTCTTTAAATAAGTCACTGCCATTGTTTTGTCACCAGATGCACACTAATGTTTTTTTCTAAAGCACGTTTATAAAAGCTACATAAATGTCTGATGTCTAAACTAAAGCCAAATGCTGTACCCTGACGCGCACCTCCCCCAAAAAAATAACTACAACTTCAAGATCTGTGATTGGTCGGATTTGTAGCATCGCGTTTCCTCCTAGGCCGCCATTTTGAATTTGAAAATCAGAAGTACACTGATGTACAATAAATGGCTGCACACGACGAACCTACTGGCCAACAATATCTGAAATGCATTTCCATGTCTCTCAAGGGGCCAGACAAGCACAGAAAATTCTCCCTCTTTTTGCCTCAACCGGTTTATATGGGTCGTACGTATCATCTCCTCCGAAGCCTACTCTCATTTCTGCATATTAGTTTTTGTAATTTCATGAAAAGTAACTGTTTTTCAACATCGACAGCTCCAACTCACACAAATACACTCAGTTTCAGCCGCCATTGTTTGTATCAGCGAAACTCGACACGGTGGAACATCGAAACCCTAACGTCAACTAGTGTTACAGTGGGGTAATTACAGAGCAACCCGAACAGAACGCAGAAGTATAAATGCCCACGGCGGTGTCGGCTACAGTACAGAAGTATAAATTGGCCTTAACACCTATAATCCTGCTTTAATCCAAGCCCCGTCTATGAAACCAGGCCCGTGTTTTTGACATGGTATTCTTTGCAGTACCTTATGTTTAAATATGTTAAATATGTTTTATGTGAGTTTTTATTAAAAAAAAAAAAAAATAGTGGCATATTCTTCTAAGATTTCACCATCACTGATCTTAAAATTACTCCTAGTATTCCTAAAGACTGATTTTAGCTGGGTAGTTTACACTTCTGTTTAAGAGTTAAGCATTTCTCTACAAGTATGAATTTCCTCATTCAGGCTAAAAAGTAGATAATCTTTAGAAAACCCATCTTTTTAATTGGATAGAAAATGTTTGTGGCAGATTAGGAAACTGGTTTCCCAAAGGTTGTTGGTTGAAACTCCAAAAATTAAAAAGGGGATTTACTAGGGTAAGTAACGTTTTTTTGCCAACCAATTAACCTTGGGTTGCCCTGTAGCATTACTCATACTCTCGCTGTTTTTAACTTTGAGTAAGTTTATCAGTGTGGGTGTTGTTGTTGTTTTACTCACTATCTAACAAGTTTTTCACAGTGATGTAAACTCAAGTAACCTGGGGAATCCAAATTAAATGTTCAACAAATGTTCAACAATTCACCTTATGTTCACAGTCAAACAGGAAATGATCACCAGCATCAGAATGAAGAGTTTGATAACGCCACCATTTCTCTCAGTCTTACTATGACTGTGTGAATATAGAGGTGATACGTCTATTTATAATCCACACTTGCTTTCCTGAAGGTGCTTTTTGCGAACTACTTAGAAATGTAGAATAGAGTTGACTCAAGTCACTGGTCAGGTCGTCTAATGAGTGTAGGAAGGAACGATTTTTATGCATTAATTGCTACCCAGATAGCAAACTGACATTGAATCAACGTGGAAATATGACATCGAAACAACGTTGATCTGACATTGTTTTGCTCATCGAATTAACGTTGAACCAACGTCAGACGCGTCATTCTTTCAAAACTAACTGAAAATCAACTTGAAATCAACGCGTTGTTTCAACGTTATGAAAGCAAACCAATTTTCGATTTTCATTTAGCTTTGAAGAATGCCGCGTCTGACGTTGGTTCAACGTTAATTCGATGAGCAAAATCAACGTTGTTTCAATGTCATGAGAGACGTCGTTTCCACGTTGATTCAATGTCAGTTTGCTGTCTTGGTAATGAATTTTACAAACAATAACAAAGAAACGACAAGTAACACAATTAAACGTGATGTAAGTGTATGTCATATATCAGTCTATCTGAAGTACATTTTGAACATTTGAACATTTTCTGTTCTCAACACATGATAGTGGGAACACTTTACAATAAGGTTCATTAGTTAACTTAGTTAGCATGAACTAAAAACGAACAATACTTCACCATTTATTAATCTTAGTTAATATTAATTTCGACATTTATTAATACAATAATAAAATCAAAGGTTGTATTAGGTAACGTTAGTTAATGCAATGTGAACGACAGTAACATAATCAATGAACAGGTGTATTTTTATTAACTAATCAACCATATTGTGTAAAGTGTCACCATGAAAGCTTTGCTATGGTGTCCGTTATGGAAATTGAGTAATGTGTGTAAGAATTACTGATAAGCTTCGTGTTGAAAGAGATCGTCCTTTCCGAGGAAGAACGGTCACTGTATTTCTAAGATAATCTACCTGGGGCTCTAGGTTTTGTCCCACATGTAAATCAGTTAATGTGCTGAATCATCCAGTCACACGGTCGAGCCACTGATCTGACTCACATGAGGTCATGTGACAAATCAACAACAAAAACAAAACTGCTTTGTAACTGTTATTAATGCAGACTCCTTTGGTTCAGTCAGTGCTGTTTTTACAGTAAATCAAGAAGTGAATCGCTACTGAATCATTGTGGGTCATGACATCAGTGACCAGTTCTGCTCATAGTCACACGCACAAACTCTTCATAACAGGCTTCAGATCAGGATTGTGTGTGATATCAGACTGATGTGTTGTCTTTGCCTGCAGGAGTCAATGAGGGGAACGCTGGTGCTCATATTCCAGGCTCTGCTATGGCCTGCCATCTCAGTTTCAGGTATGATTATTAATATGCATTGCACATATCTTTTGACTTTAAATGATAAACGACGAATCTAGGAACTGCTAATACGAGAAACTGTTTATGTGGTTTCTCCCAGAAATGAATGTAGCAAATTAAGCTTTTCAAACTGAAAAGCTTTACAGAAGAGTGACAACCCAGATAGCAAACTGACATTGAATCAACGTGGAAACATGACATCGAAACAACGTTGATCTGACATTGTTTTGCTCATCGAATTAACGTTGAACCAACGTCAGACGCGTCATTCTTTCAAAACTAGCGGAAAATCAACTTGAAATCAACGTTGTTTCAACGTTATGAAAGCAAACCAATTTTCGATTTTCATTTAGCTTTGAAGAATGCCGCGTCTGACATTGGTTCAACGTTAATTCGATGAGCAAAATCAACGTTGTTTTGATGTCATGAGAGACGTCGTTTCCGCGTTGATTCAATGTCAGTTTGCTGTTTGGGAAACTGCTTAGATTTGTCAGGATAGATCTCATAAAATGACCTGAGCTGCTATTCACATTTACTCTAGCTTCATTATTATAATCTTACTGATGATGATGACTATAGTAGGCTAACTCATTTAAAATAAAGTTGATAAAACACAACTGAGAACTGCACTACATCTCATGAGCCGTGAAAGTGCAACATCTGAGCCTTTGAGCATTTCACTTCCGGGTCTGATGAAGTTGTCTAATATAATGGCCCCTAATATTTTTTTTTTTACACTTTCTTCCGTGTAATTTTGCTGAAAAAGCTCTGCAAAGTTACAAAGAGTTCTTCTCTATATCAGTGTCTCTGTTTCTGAACTCCCTAAATATTGTAGTCTTGAGTTTCTTTCATATTCCTCATTTGAATAATTAATACGCAGAATAAAGGGGCGGGGCCTGGTTGAGTTAGTTAGTAGTGTGTTAAACCGGCTGTAAGGGGCGGGACATTTCCCAAACACACTCAAAGCGCTCGACCAATCACAACACACTGCTCCAGCCGACCAATCAGAGCACAGTGTGCTTCTCAGAAGGAGGGGTTTCATAGAGACAGGAACTAAACAGAACATTACTGGCAGATTGGGAAAAGAGGAGCTGCAGCAACGGAGTGCCGAAGTTATGACGTCACTTTGTACTCCCGGTTCCCTCGCCCATAAGTCTATGGGATTTTTGAATGGGTTTTTGCTAAATCGCCTGATATAAGGTCTGTGGTTAACAAAGCCTCTAAATATTTTCACGTTTTGATCTATGACATAAAACACACTAGTTATAACCTGCTTGTGTTTTTTTAAACTTTATCGTGTCTGATTGTGTTTTTTAAAACTTTATACAGGCTTTAAAATGTATACATTTTGGATTAACTTGTTAAGATTATCTTGATAGACAAACGTGTAAGAGTCAAAACTCTTTGTTGAACACAGATCTTATTTTTTGCGATTTTCCAAAAGTCTATGGGGAAAATGCATAGCTTTTCGATCGAGGGAACCCATGCGCCGCTAGCTGCCGAGTTGTCCTACAAAGTGACTTCATTACTTTGGCACTCTATGGAGATTATGGGACAAATAATGTGTATTTTTGAACATACAAGCATGAAAAAGGGCATAATATAAGAAAAAGGGCATAATATATCCCCTTTTAAAAAAATGTTTTCATCCTGCCTTCCTCTAGGCCTGTTTACTGTGAATGTACAGAAGAGCTCTTACGAGGCAGAGCTGCACGGGGACGTCGAGCTGGTGTGTGTGTTCTCCGATGTTAAACAACCCTCAAACCTCACCGTCATATGGACCCGCATCAACCCGAAGCCAGATGTGGACGTGTATCGGCTCGAGAAAGGCAGAGAAAACCAAATTTACACCAATGATGCGTTCAAAAAGCGGGCGCAGCTCATCCAAGAACAGCTGAAGGAAAACCGAGCGGTTTTACACTTGAAAAAGCTCCAGATAAAAGATTCGGGAACATACCGGTGTATCGTAAAAGAGGGAGATGAGGGAGACTACAAGCAAGTCACGCTCAATGTTACAGGTGCTTTACTAACAACAAACAACTTCATAAAAGTCGCATTTGATTGCTGACAACATTAAGGTGTCAGGTGATTGGTTTGCAGTTTAATTAACTGCTGCAATGCATTATGGGACGGGACTCCTAATAGGACTCTTTCTTCTGCTGACACACTAGCTACAGTACTTGTATTGAATTCTAAATCACAATTTTTTTATTCACATATTAAATAGCAATGAATTCGGTTTACTTATGCTGCATTCATTTATATATATGCTGCACATTTTGGCAAATGTAGAATTTGTTTTGGTTGAGTTGTTCAATGCATACAGTAAATTTGTAAACACGGTATATGCACAATATATATACATACATCATACTACAAAAATAGACCTAGTGTAGTTTTCCAAACTTATCCACAATCCTGAACACGTTTTCATGTGCTTCTCTTTAACTTGCACCAGATTGTCTTCCATATAATTTATGTATTACGTTTATGTTTTCCAGCTCCTTATACTCCCATCAAGAAAAGCGTGAGGAAAACGGGTCAGGATGAAGTGGAGCTCTCCTGTGAGTCTCAGGGGTTCCCGTCACCTCAGGTTTTCTGGAGCGACGGTCAGAACACAAACCTCACGGAGACGTCCAAAAGCTCAACGCTCCATACAGATGAGGATGTGGTCAAAGTGTTCAGCACGCTGACGGTGAGACGAGATCTCGTGAACAACTACACCTGCTCTTTCCTCAGGAGCGGCGAGGTCCAGCAGACGGCCTCCTTCAGCATCCCAGGTGGGTTCACTACTATAAGGCCCGATAAAAAAAATATTACATTGAGAGATTCTATGTAAATGTTATTATTACTGTTGTTACTACTGGTATACATCTGATTTTGTATATTGATTTTGTTTATTTAAAAAAAAAATGAAATGTTGCTGAAATAAGTCAATAAATAAATATTAAACGATAATTATATACGCTGTGTCTGAAATCCTATACTGTCTGAGTAGGTGATACATTTGAATTTAATTCAATTCAACTTTATTTGTATTGCGCTTTTCACAATACATATTGTTTCAAAACAGCTTTACAGAAAGTGCTTTTTAGAATTTAATGTAGATTGAAAAAAATCATGTATTAAGTCATGTTAATCATGTATTAATTTAGGGCACAACATATTGCCGGCGTTGAGTCGTCTCTTCACAGGCATTTAGTCATCTGTTTTTACTTTGTGTTTTTGTACATTTACATTGTGACCGTTTAAAAAGTATGATTATATGGATGAAATTTGGACATATTATATTCGCCATGTTGTTTGTGTCATGTGACCTACCAGTGTCATTAGTGTCGCTTCATAAATCCTCTCCGGCAGCCTCATGGGACAGTAAAGTGTCAATTTTAGGCACACTTCAGAATCTCACCAGAAGTAGTAGATCATCCGTATATGTTTTGCCTTTTATCAGTACTGTGAATTCTGACATTCTTTTTTGTCACTCACTGTTTTTCGCCTATATATAGTAGGGTAGTATGCGATTTCGGACGAAGCCAATGATTTATTTTCCAGCTGATGAGCCACATAAACATTATCAGCCAATCAGAATCCATCCTGCTTTAAAGAGCTTGTGTATATGCTTTAAAAAAGAACAAATATCTGAAAATTGGGTCTGAGAAAAATCAAGCTTTCCCTTTGAATTTAGTTTATTTTCTGACCCGATTGGCAGCTGTTTGTTTTTGTTTCAAGCATTAGCTCACTTAATATGTGTCTATTTTTATTCAAAATCATTTTGCTTCTCCAGTAAATGTATGTTGATTTAAGAATGTTTAAATATTTGCAATGGAAAACAGACAAAAATACTTAGTAGGAAAACAAACGCTTGATGCACTTCTGAGAAAGAACTGATCTTTATAAAATGAACATGTCAAAAGCAGCATCAACCTACAGATGTGAAAGTTGCTGTGTTTTCCATCGCTTATGGCTTGTGTGAGGCACATTTTCATTGATGTGTTTCTGCGACGAGGGGGCGGAGGAAGACAAACACGCACAGTTTCCGATAAATATGGAGGAGAGCCTTTGTTACCGTGTTTTTCCAGCAGACACAAGAGTCTCATTGTGAAAACGGTTAGAATATAAAGTTTCACCCTAAAGCAAGTGTTAATCTTTCAAAGTCTGAAAGGAAATATCTTCTGTTATGTAACAAAGTTACCCATTATACCACGTCTTTTGCATTCAGTGCATGATCACATTCAGTAGAAGTGTTGATAGATAGGTACTGCGATTAGCTTTAATTTAATTTTTGTTTATTGGCAGAAATGTATGGCCCATATTGGATGAACCAAATCGAAACATGGTTATTATCATTAATCAAAACTAAAACCATAAAAAAACCTGAATTTATTTCATTACTTGAAATGAACGTATACTGAAAAAAAGTTAAGCAACTTATTTCATGTCAACTAGTTTCCAAGGTAACATTAATAACTATAATAACAAAAAATAAACTTAAATTATATAGAAGTATTTTTTAAAACACAACAAAATTACTAAAACTTTAAATAAAATAAAGATAGAAATATAAGTAAAATAAAATATTTATAAATATATATATATATATATATATAAAGAAAAAGAAAAATAACACTTGATTCAATAGTATTTCAAATACATTGAAGCAACACTGGTTCAAAGCTGTTGTAAAATAGCTTATATATAAAACTACCTTCATTAAATAAAACAAACTTAAACTTGTTAAAATAGTTTATAAGGGAACATTTCTTGTGTTAGTACAAGTTGAAGTACTAAAATAACTAAAAGCAAGTAAACGAAAAGAAAATGAAAATGACAAAAACAAAAGAAAAAGTGTAAAAATAAAAATGAAAATTGAAAATATGAAAATAAAATCAAATGCAAAATATTGACGCTTGTGTGTGTGTGTGTGTGTGTGTGTGTGTGTGTGTGTATATATATATTTAAAACACTTGTTGATAACACTTTGATGATTAATATGTGTCAGTTTCTGTCCCGCTGGAACATCCATCATGATGTTCTTCTGAGAGACAGATATTGAGTGTTAACTGCAGTGTTTCTGGTTTCCACAGATGAAGTCCATCATGAATGCTCAGCTCAGTACGCGTGGATCGGAGCCGTGGTCATCGTGCTGTTAGCCATAACCTTCATCTACGTCATTCTGCGCAGGAGGAGCAACGGTACTTTGATAATAATTTTTTTTAAAAATCATGATATATCTAGTCTTTGACCTATACCATAGTAATACCATGATGTTTGGGTATTTACCACAGTATTATTGTACCATGTAAATACCACTTTAATCTGTCAAACCACTGATTCTGATCACTGATCACGGTCCATTAAAGCGCGTCAGTTGGCACATGTCGACGTCTCGATCAGATATGGAGAAGTTTTAGGTGGAGCCGCTGTGGATTTGCTTGATTGATTTATAGTTTGTTTATCATGTGAGTCAACCTCATATGATATTAAATACCTTACAAAAGGAATCCCCTGCTGGATCTCTGTCAAGAAATAGATACTCAGGTTTATAAGCTTACTGCATGAAAAACTCATTAGTCCTTCATGTTCATGCGTTACTACTAGATGCTTTTGAATGACATTTTGTACATGCACAGTTCTAAACATTATGAAACTAAAACATGCAGAAACAGGAATGACCCAGTAAATTACCCTTAACTAACCTCAGCTGTTACTGACCTTGCCAAATTAATATTATCAGTCATGACTTTGGGTTATGTTCATAAAACATATTACTAATATAGTTCTCTGGCATATATCATATGGTGTGCTTACTGTACTTCTTGGACATCACACACTTAATTGCTGTGACATCAATGTAACAGACTCCAGTTATTGTTGCTCTCTGTTACAGTTATTGTTTATTGCTTCGCTTACTAAGCGGTTTTGTGAGTTAGCATCATGTGACGTGTAAACAGAGAGTCCTCAGTTTGTTAATCTTCAGTATTTGCAGGAATTACGTTCAGTTTTCATCACAGGTGAATCCCACATCCGTCACTAGGGCTGTCGCGATAACCGCAATATTGCAGTACCGCGCTTCTGACAGGTCAACCGCAGAGGATTGCACGTAACCGCAGCAACCGCGATATTCACGTTTTTTTTTTTATAAGGCTTCTTCTTGTTTTGAACTTCATGCATGTGTATTGAATGCTAAACAAGTTCATAATGATAACAACAAGACTGTTTATCTTAGTGATGTGTAGCCTACAGAGGCTTCACACAGACAGTGAATGAGAGAAATCTGCAGAGCGCGTGCGATTACCTGCGTCTGTCTTTGAAGTCGTGAAAAGGTTGCCGTCAATGCCGTGTCAAAGGAAAGCGAAATATTTGTCGTATCATCAAGCTTCACGTCACGGGTATTTTCCACAAATGCGCGTCAGCAGCAGCGCTGGTCAGAATCCCACAGCGCGAGGAAGCCGCAGAAAATAATATCACAGAGTCACGCATTGAATCAATGCCATATTGGTCTAATAAGTGAAGCATCAGCTTCCGCGTTACCCATGCGACGCATTGCTGTTCAGCTGAGCCTTGAAAAGTGGAACAAAGTTAAAATCAAAGTTATAAATAATAACATCTTGTTTCATTACATCTCTTTTAACGAATCAGCTTCTTTGAACGTGTTCGTTGAATGAACGGTTCAAAGTCCGTTGTCATAACAATATGCGCGCTGAGTGAAAGCCTTTCAATCATGCTTTCAATGCGCATATAGACGCTGTTTAGTTTCGGTTATTGGTTAAATGACCTCGTTTTTGTCCACATCGTAAACTTTATTTATATAGCAACAAATATTTATAAATTAAATAAATAAATAAATGGCGGTAATACCGCAAATCGCGCTATTGAGCCACTCAACATTACCGCAAGGGAAATTCCATAACCGCGACAGCCCTACTCACTCACGTGCGGAGACACTTCGCCTACCGGTTACTCAACTATCTTTAAAGGGGTCATGAACTGGCTTTTTAAATGTTATTATATTGTTGTCTGAGGTCAACTTAGGACGTTCGCTTGGTTTTTGCTCTCAAAAACATCAAAATGAATAAGTAATAGGCTATTTTGTACCCAAGTTCTGATCCTATCTGAAAAACGCACTGAAGACTTGGAAGTAAACGCCCACTGCTGTGAGTGGATAACAGTTTTGCATATTATAATGAGTTTCAACTCACCAATCGATGCACTTGGGGGAAATTGTTTTGAAAACTTCCAATGTTGTAAAATGGCTACCGGAATGATTCGCCCATACATGTTCGACCCAGAGTCCGTGTCTTTTGCGCAATTCCTGTCAGATCCAATATAGACGGCACAGCACCGTTCTTTACTCTTAATCGGTCGGCAAAAAATCCAGTCTTGTTCACAAAACAATCCTCAGTGAAATGAAGCGAACAGAAGACGATGTTTTACCTCATCAGCTGGAACGTCATTAAAAATTAAAGCTGCAAGCAGCGATGGGCGGGCCCTCGCACCTGTAGCGCGTCGGGGTGTGAGGCGGCTGCGTTGCATATTCTGCAGCTCAGCCAGTGCGGCTGTGCATTTGCTACGCTGCTTCGTTAAAGGTCACTTCCTGTTGCCAGCAGGTGGCACTATGACTGTGGGTGAATGTCGGCATGTAGATTTGTTCAACGCGGGACTCTTGTCAAATGTGTTAAATTTCGTGCAGATCTGGGCATTTACAGCCAAGTTACTACAACTTCCTGTTTCATGGCGAATCTTCGACGCCACGGACACGCCCATCGACGAAAACGCACAGATAGCACAACTTTACATCGTCAATGCCTTTAGAAGGCACATCAGAAATGTGATGTCGATCCGACTAAAGCCCTAGGAGGAGTTCGTTAAAGTACGGAGTGAGTAAATCATCCAAAAATGGCGGTAAAATTAGAAATGGCTGACTTCCTGTTGAGTTTAGGGCATCGCTCCAAGAGACTTTTCTGTGCGTCTGGACATGGTAGATGTACCACAGAAATTTCGTACATGTCGGTCAAACATGCGACGGGGGCTGCTTCGTTAAATGTCACTTCCTCTTGCCACTAGGTGGCGCTATGAATGTGGGTGAATGTCGGCATGTAGATTTGATCAGGGCGGGACTCTTGTCAAATGTGTAAAATTTCGTGCAGATCTGGGCATTTACAGCCAAGTTACTACAACTTCCTGTTTCATGGCGAATCTTCGACGCCACGGACACGCCCATCGACGAAAACGCGCAGATAGCACAACTTTACATCGTCAATGCCTTTAGAAGGTACAACAGAAATTTGAAGTTGATCCGACTAAATCCCTAGGAGAAGTTCGTTAAAGTACGGAGTGTGTAAATCGTCCCAAATCGGTCGCCGAATTCAAAATGGCGGACTTCCTGTCGAGTTTAGGGTATGGGTTCTTGAGGCTTTTTTGTGTGCGTCTGGTCATGGTAGATGTACCACAGAAATTTCGTACATGTCGGTCAAACAAGCGGCGGGGGCTGCTTCGTTAAAGGTCACTTCCTGTTGCCAGCAGGTGGCGCTATGACTGTGGGTGAATGTCGGCATGTAGATTTGTTCAGGGCGGGACTCTTGTCAAATGTGTAAAATTTCGTGCAGATCTGGGCATTTACAGCCAAGTTACTACAACTTCCTGTTTCATGGCGAATCTTCGACGCCACGGACACGCCCATCGACGAAAACGCGCAGATAGCACAACTTTACATCGTCAATGCCTTTAGAAGGCACAGCAGAAATTTTAAGTCGATCTGACTAAATCCCTAGGAGGAGTTCGTTAAAGTACGGAGTCTGTAAATCGTCCAAAAATGGCCGCCAAATTCAAAATGGCGGACCTCCTGTCGAGTTAAGGGTATGGGTTCTTGAGGCTTTTTTGTGCGTCTTGACATGATACACGTCCCCACCAAATTTCGTGCATGTAGGTTGAACGTGGACGAGGGGCTAATTTTTTCCAATTTTCTAGGTGCGCTAGCGTGCCATTTTGCCCCGCCCATCTGCGAAACCCACAAAATACGAAATTTTTCACCAGTCCTGACATGCGTGCCAAATTTGGTGAGTTTTTGAGCATGTTGCGGTCCCGAAAATGGCACTTACTTTGCAGAAAAAAAAAAAAAAAAAAAAAAAAAAAAATTAAAAGCTGCAAGCAGCGATGGGCGGGCCCTCGCACCTGTAGCACGTCGGGGTCTGAGGCGGCCGTGTTGCATTTTCTGAAGCTCAGCCAGTGCGGATGTGCATTTGCTACGCTGCTTCGTTAAAGGTCACTTCCTGTTGCCAGCAGGTGGCGCTATGACTGTGGGTGAATGTCGGCATGTAGATTTGTTCAGGGGCGGGACTCTTGTCAAAGGTGTAAAATTTCATGCATATCTGGGCTTTACAGCCAAGTTACTACAACTTCCTGTTTCATGGCGAATCATCGACGCCACGGACACGCCCATCGACGAAAACGCGCAGATAGCACAACTTTACATCGTCAATGCTTTAGAAGGCACAGCAGAAATGTGAAGTCGATCCGACTAAATCCCTAGGAGGAGTTCGTTAAAGTACGTAATGAGTAAATCATCCAAAAATGGCGGTAAAATTAGAAAATGGCCGACTTCCTGTTGATTTTAGGGCATCGCTCTAAGAGACTTTTCTGTGCGTCTGGCCATGGTAGATGTACCACAAAAATTTCGTACATGTCGGTCAAACACGCAGTGGGGGCTGCCTTCGTTAAAGGTCACTTCCTGTTGCCAGCAGGTGGCGCTATGACTTAGGGTGAATGTCGGCATGTAGATTTGTTCAGAGCGGGACTCTTGTCAAATGTGTCAAATTTCGTGCAGATCTGGGCATTTACAGCCAAGTTACTAAACACTTCCTGTTTCATGGCGAATCTTCGACGCCACGGACACGCCCATCGATGAAAACGCGCAGATAGCACAACTTCACATCGTCAATGCCTTTAGAAGGCACAGGCAGAAATTTTAAGTCGATCCGACT